TCTCTCTCTCTCTCGGTCTCTCTCTGTCTCCCTACCGTTAAGTAACTCTCTCTGTCTCCCTACCGTTAAGTGCATTGTTTTACTTACTTGTTTTTGACATATCCGACCGAACTACAAACTTTCCAGTGATGTCTGTGAGAAAGGTATATTCACTCGACAAGCTCGCGCATCTGCGCTGCTGCGCGCTCAATCCAGTCAGCGTGCTTTGTTTATCAGCTCGCGCACACCAGCTAAACAGGCGTTAATACTGAATGTTTAACGTTATATTCATTGCATACATATACTTCGTAGTAGACATCCTTAACTCCTTTCTGCTGTCTGTTGTTCTGTTGTCGGTGTTTCTTTGTCTAAATATGGCACTGATCACATGCTGTGTGGTATCGGCGTTTGGTATCGGGGCATTTTAACGAGTACGAGTACAGGAGCTCAGTATCGAGCCCGATACCGATACCAGTATCGGTGCATCCCTAGTTAACAATTGCAACAGATAAGCTGATAACTTACCAAAAACTGATAAATAGACAGCGTTGATATTTTATATTTCGTTGGAATACATAAAAAAATTTAACACTGACAAATAAAAATAATTATTTTAAATGCTTCAAGTAAATTTAGGCATCACAACATTATAATATACAGTATAAAAATGGATGTTCATTGTGACATTTGTTAAAGATTATATTTAATAGTGTTATTAATTTATTTTTTTTAAAGATTTTTTTAAGTGAGTGTTAGATGACAGAAATGGTTATCTAAATATAAAAAAATGGGGAAATGAGCATGCACAAATAAGTATTCAGTACTGGCAGATATCAATATTTGTATAAATTTCTAATATCAGTCAATAACTGATATTATACTAATATGTAGTGCATCCATAGCAGAAGTAATAAGAATAATAAGGTTCTGTGTTCTAAACAGTCTGAAGCCCCGTTTGTCTTACTCAGTTAGTATATGTGTATTTGTTGTGAATGAATCTATTGATCTGTTCTCTAGATAGCAGATCAGATGTTCTTCCACACTGATTATCGGCCGCTTATCCGTGATGCCCATAACTTTGTGCTGGACGAACAGACCCAGCAGGCACCTCACCTCATGCCGCCACCATTCCTGGTGGATGTGGACGGGAATCCTCACCCTCCACGCTACCAGAGACTGGTTCCTGGCAGAGAGAACTGCAGAGAGGAACAGCTCATACCCCAGATGGGGCTCACGTCATCAGGTAAGAAACGCAGACAGACAGTGTCTCTTTGGTCCCTTTCTGTGTTTTTATTACTTAAAATAATTATTGGCCATTTGTGTTCACTATTCACTATCTCAACAAATTAGAATATGGTGACATACCAATCAGCTAATCAACTCAAAACACCTGCAAAGGTTTCCTGAGCCTTCAAAATGGTCTCTCAGTTTGGTTCACTAGGCTACACAATCATGGGGAAGACTGCTGATCTGACAGTTGTCCAGAAGACAATCATTGACACCCTTCACAAGGAGGGTAAGCCACAAACATTCATTGCCAAAGAAGCTGGCTATTCACAGAGTGCAGTATCCAATCATGTTAACAGAAAGTTTAGTGGAAGGAAAAAGTGTGGAAGAAAAAGATGCACAACCAACCGAGAGAACCGCAGCCTTATGAGGATTGTCAAGCAAAATCGATTCAAGAATTTGAGTGAAAGACTTTATACATCTGGCCTCTCAGATAAGGATATGGGGAAATTCATCCTTCGGCAGCTGTCAGAAGGCCTGGCCAAGATCAACGCAAACCAGCTACCTGGAAACTACACGATGTGGTGTTATCACTTCATCTTGTACCCAAGGGTGATGTGGCCTCTGAAGCTGCGCGAAGTCACCTCATCAGCAGTAAGCCGGATGGAGGCAAAAGCCAACTCCTTCATCCGCAAATGGCTCGGCCTACCACGGTGCTTTTCAGCTGCTGGTCTGTATGGATGGAACTCACTCCAGCTACCCCTGAAATCCATCACCTTGGGCTATAGGCAGGAGAAGGGAAGTGCTCAAGGACCTGGGACTACGGGGAGCCACACTGAGCAGATCCACCAAAGAGCTCTCTGAGGAAGCGGAGAATGCAAGCCACTGGCTCTGGCTGAAACGACGAGACAAGGCTTGGGGAGTAACATCGAATTAGGTTTTGTTGCAGGGGGTGTCAGGGAGACGTCCCTGTTCACTGCTCCACCACCAGGAGACGTTCTGGGTTAAGGGGCGAAACGTCAATGAGCGGTGGTCCCCAGCTGAAGACCCTGCAGAAAACCACGTGGTCTGCGGTCAGGTTTAGGCCTGCCTCAGGGAAGAGGACGCCCCTGCCATGCATAGTCCACCATAGGCACCGTAGGAGGTGCGACAGGCCTAAGGTCCAGCAGAAAGACCACCTCGCTGTAATGAATAATATAATTGTGCATTTTCTTTTATTTTCAGGTCCAGCAGAGGAGACAGGAATTGGAACAGGTACTGGGAATCCGAATCACTTAAGAAGATTCAGACTCCAAATCTACAGTCACCCGAGAAATTGGCTCAACAAATACAATTGAGAATGAAACTTTCTGTTTGAAAACCAGTGGAGGAAGTTCATGTATAAGTTTTGGGCTTGTGTGACGTTACGTGACATTGTTTACAAGCCGTTATATTGACGTCTTTGCGCGGCTGAAACACAGATTGAGTGATTACATGAGACAGGATACAGATTGTAAAGTTGTACTCTTTCTTTTAACTTACCTTTGGATGTTTAGTCATGTTTATTTTGTGCTGAAGCTGGTATTAATGTGGAGTAGGGCTGTCCAAAAAAATTTTTAATTTCGAATATTCGTCGAATTTAAAATAAAATATCAGTGGCGCACGAGATGCGATGACGATCTAAGTGTCATTGCATTTTAATGTTTTTGTTAGCCTATCCAGTTGAAGCCACTAGATGCGGCACTGCTGCATTGTTAATATCAAAACTGAAACCAAGCCGTTCACACAGAATGCATATTTTCTAGAGGGACATCTATCACCGTTGCACTCGTCTCGCACAAAAGAGCCACATGTTTAGAAAGCCATGTAAAATTAATGCAAGTTCAACTTTGTTTCTCATAAAGCATAATTTTAGTGGTATAGTGGCAAAAAGTCTGAGACCATGTAAAAATGAAAAAAAAAAATAAAAAAAAAAAATAAATAAAATAAAATAAAAATGTAAAGATACCTAAATCAAGTAAAGAGTGTTTCCAAAGTCTGTAAAGAAGATCATGATATTACCTTACTCCCTCAGAGCTTGTTATAGCAGGCTACCAACATTAACATTGTGCCTTAAGAAATTAGTAAAAGGTCTCCAGACATCTTCAAAAACGTTTTGTTTCATTTTGACAATATACGTGATCTTTTCCATTGACATGTTATTATTCGTTTAGGTTGTAAAATACTCTTTTCAATGAATCTGACCTCTTTGCTTTGTAAGAGAGGACTGAAAGGATATATACCCAGAATAAAAAGCTTAGGATCCAGTGATAATTTCTTTGATAGAATTTGGTCAATCATATCAATTATACCTTTCCAAAAAGACTTCACTTTCTCGCATTCCCATATACAGTGGTACAGTGTACCTCTCGCCTCATTACACTTTATACAGGTATCAGGAATATTATCATTAAACTTGTGCAACATAACAGGAGTTATATATGTTCCATTTATGTACCATTTATATTGTATGAGTTTCAAGCTACTGTTGACTGTCTGTATCTGAGCCTTCTTGCATACCTCATTCCAATCCTCTAGAGAAATGTCATCATTTATATCTTCTTTCTGCTCTGGGTGTGTGTTCACGGTGTGTGTGTGTTCACTGCTGTGTGTGTGCACATTGGATGGGATAAATGCAGAGCACTAATTCCGAGTATGGGTCACCATACTTGGCCACATGTCACGTCACTTTCAGGCTCTATTAAACACTTTTAAAACTACACAGCCTCAGCATGATTATGATCACTATTTTGTTTTACTAAGAGTTTCATTTTGAATCTAGGGGGTAATCTATTATACTGTGGCTGTCAAATGCAACTTTACCGAGCTCAACGACTCTGGCCCGAGCAGATATAAACAAAACGCTATTGGCTATTTTAAAAAGGGGGCGGGGCTGCTCAATATGTACCGCCCTGTCTTCCTGTTTCAGTTGAAATTACGTCACCACATAGAATAACGCTGCATGTTTCAAGGCACTTTAGGGGACCTTTAAATGTACATACTGATTAACTGATACTGATACCAGCTTGTTGGTTCGCATTGTGTTCTCAGTTTTAATGTACATGTTTGCTTGAATTTATTTTCAAGATCTAAGGTAAACTGTCTGTTGTTGCTTTCAGTATGGCTTTAATGTCACGCAAAATGATATTCAAACTCACATCAGACACGTTAAACTTTGAATAAAGCACATAATCAGTACCTGAGATTACCACTGTCATAGTTTGTATGTTGTTGTTTCACCTGCAATGTCGTGGAAATAGAAACCATTTCTAAAATAGAAATTTCATGTGTCGCCGTCGCGGCTAGTTAGGACAAAAACTCGGATTAACATGGAAAAGATATCTATTATCGCGTTGTCGCGTTGTCGCGTGCGTGTAGTTAGGACACAGTGTTACTGACCCCAAACTTTTACAGGTAGTGTACATGTTGATGATTTAAGAGAAAAATGTATGGGACTTTCACCAGGAATTGAGTGAATTGGGGAAAAAAGATTTCTGTATGGTTGAAATGTAAAAGGGCCTAGAGGCACCAATTAAAAAGGAAAGTTCCATTTCACAGGCAGCGCAAGTTATTACCTTTAGACTGTCATAGATTAATCATTTACTATACAAGAATGTGTATTACGGAAGTATATAGGGTTAGTTTTAAATTCATATTGACTTCATTTATTGTGGTGATTGTCTTTTTATTGCCATTGTGTCTAAAGTGTTATTGTTCCATCTGTAGTGTTAAAATCTCTGTTAGAAGTGTGAGTGGTCCATTCACAGTTTTAATGTTGCATCCATAGCAAGTTTCTCAATCTATAGAACGAGTTATAACAGATTCACAGTGTCAACTGCAGTGCAAATGCCTACTAACACCAAATCATAATTTTCAGCATGAAAAAGATGCATGACAATTTTTAAAAAGAAATGATCTGCTTCTCACAGAAATAGAATGATTGAACTGTGAAGATCCATTGTTTTTTTTTTTAACTTAGAGTTTGGATTTTTTTTTTTGTAAATAGCAGTTATTGGCCAATTTGGATAGCAGTCATTCTGCTCACTTTTCAGACAATCGTCAGATTGTCATCAGATCATATTTGTGAATATTTTATACACTCTGGTTTTATTCAAATAAGGATTTGGTGTGAACAGGCTTGTTTGTGAATGTTTACTTTCCAGTTGTTAAAATGCAAAAAATATATTTTTTTCTTAATCAGTAGTATATAGGGTCATATGATTTCCGCAATGCGGAAAACATGTACGGAATCATGGAATCCAGTCATAAAAACGGAATTTACTGTATAACGTGTTGTTTTTTTTTTTAACTTAGAGTTTGGATTTTTTTTTTTGTAAGTAGCAGTTATTGGTCAATTTGGATAGCAGTCATTCTGCTCACTTTTCAGACAATCGTCAGATTGTCATCAGATCATATTTGTGAATATTTTATACACTCTGGTTTTATTCAAATAAGGATTTGGTGTGAACAGGCTTGTTTGTGAATGTTTACTTTCCAGTTGTTAAAATGCAAAAAATATATTTTTTTCTTAATCAGTAGTATATAGGGTCATATGATTTCCGCAATGCGGAAAACATGTACGGAATCATGGAATCCAGTCATAAAAACGGAATTTACTGTATAACGTGGAATGTCATGGAATTTTTCCAAATTTTGGATGGATTAATGAAAACACTTGCGGTGTTTTCAGCGTCTGCCGCCTCAATATATGAGTACATGAACACATGAACATAATCTCTAAAACTGCTCTGAGAGTCACTTCATGAGCATTTTCACCTGCAATGTCGTGGAAATAGAAACCATTTCTAAAATAGAAATTTCATGTGTCGCCGTCGCGGCTAGTTAGGACAAAAACTCGGATTAACATGGAAAAGATATCTATTATCGCGTTGTCGCGTGCGTGTAGTTAGGACACAGTGTTACTGACCCCAAACTTTTACAGGTAGTGTACATGTTGATGATTTAAGAGAAAAATGTATGGGACTTTCACCAGGAATTGAGTGAATTGGGGAAAAAAGATTTCTGTATGGTTGAAATGTAAAAGGGCCTAGAGGCACCAATTAAAAAGGAAAGTTCCATTTCACAGGCAGCGCAAGTTATTACCTTTAGACTGTCATAGATTAATCATTTACTATACAAGAATGTGTATTACGGAAGTATATAGGGTTAGTTTTAAATTCATATTGACTTCATTTATTGTGGTGATTGTCTTTTTATTGCCATTGTGTCTAAAGTGTTATTGTTCCATCTGTAGTGTTAAAATCTCTGTTAGAAGTGTGAGTGGTCCATTCACAGTTTTAATGTTGCATCCATAGCAAGTTTCTCAATCTATAGAACGAGTTATAACAGATTCACAGTGTCAACTGCAGTGCAAATGCCTACTAACACCAAATCATAATTTTCAGCATGAAAAAGATGCATGACAATTTTTAAAAAGAAATGATCTGCTTCTCACAGAAATAGAATGATTGAACTGTGAAGATCCATTGTTTTTTTTTTTAACTTAGAGTTTGGATTTTTTTTTTTGTAAGTAGCAGTTATTGGTCAATTTGGATAGCAGTCATTCTGCTCACTTTTCAGACAATCGTCAGATTGTCATCAGATCATATTTGTGAATATTTTATACACTCTGGTTTTATTCAAATAAGGATTTGGTGTGAACAGGCTTGTTTGTGAATGTTTACTTTCCAGTTGTTAAAATGCAAAAAATATATTTTTTTCTTAATCAGTAGTATATAGGGTCATATGATTTCCGCAATGCGGAAAACATGTACGGAATCATGGAATCCAGTCATAAAAACGGAATTTACTGTATAACGTGGAATGTCATGGAATTTGCTACATTTCGAATGGCTACATCAAATGTTGGTCAGTAAACTTAAATCAAAACGCGATTTGGACTAGTGTCTGTTAATATTAAGCCACAAAAATACCATTTCAATATGAATCCTGCATGTTCTGTGTCTATGTGTGAATGAATGGTGCAGACACACGGTTCATTTAACACACACATAACTGAAGACCGTGTGACGCTCGCAGTGTTTTCAGCCTTTGCCGCCTCAATATATGAGTACATGAACACATGAACATAATCTCTAGAACTGCTCTGAGTCACTTCATGAGCCCACAAAAATACCATTTCAATATGAATCCTGCATGTTCTGTGTCTATGTGTGAATGAATGGTGCAGACACACGGTTCATTTAACACACACATAACTGAAGACCGTGTGACGCTCGCAGTGTTTTCAGCCTTTGCCGCCTCAATATATGAGTACATGAACACATGAACATAATCTCTAAAACTGCTCTGAGAGTCACTTCATGAGCATTTTACACTTTCTTTTGAGTAAAACTATCATCATATCATATACAAACAGAAACCTAAAAGTCTTCACAGCAACCCATCAAAATAAAAGTTCAGTTTAACTTGAAGAAACGGTGACAGAAATAATGCTTAATGTAATGATAGTACTACTACTAATACAATTATTGTTAAAACATTATTTTTAAAGGAATATTTACCAGAATTAATTTAGCAGAAAAATGTAAATACACAACACAGTATTTCTGAAAAAAACATAAAACGATAATAATTTACTTTTTTAATAAAATCAATTAATTAGAGATGCTTTTGATTATTAATATTTAATGAAACCATTAAAATTGAAGCCAGAAAATGAATGGAAAACAGAATTAGTTAAAAATAATCTGAATTTGAGAAAAAAATAAAACATTTCATATGGCCTTAAAATTTAATTTTTGTTAGGCTTTTAATAAATTGCTGTTTAATATTGTAAGTTTCCTGATTTCAATTAATCAGACATGCTTTTTGATGAATAAAATTTAATTTATCATTAAAACAGAGTCAGAGAAAAATTTTAATGGGGAAAAAATGGAATCCAGAAAAATGTTAACACAAAAAAAAAACAGAATTTGGGAAAAATATTAAATGAATTTCATAGAGCCCTAAGTATAGCCAGACAAAAATGCTGAATTATAAAATGGATTTTCTGGAGTAGTGACATCAGACTTGTTGCGTTAATGAAACCATTAAAATTGAATCCAGAAAATGAATGGAAAACAGAATTAGTTAAAAATAATCTGAATTTGAGAAAAAAATAAAACATTTCATATGGCCTTAAAATTTAATTTTTGTTAGGCTTTTAATAAATTGCTGTTTAATATTGTAAGTTTCCTGATTTCAATTAATCAGACATGCTTTTTGATGAATAAAATTTAATTTATCATTAAAACAGAGTCAGAGAAAAATTTTAATGGGGAAAAAATGGAATCCAGAAAAATGTTAACACAAAAAAAAAACAGAATTTGGGAAAAATATTAAATGAATTTCATAGAGCCCTAAGTATAGCCAGACAAAAATGCTGAATTATAAAATGGATTTTCTGGAGTAGTGACATCAGACTTGTTGCGTATATTTGAAAACCAAATTCCCAATTTAAACTATATTGACATTTTTTGTTGGAACCGTTGGTGTGTTCTGAGAATGGCATAAAAAGTGTGTGGTAATCTTCGGTCTCATTGTATCTGGTGTTTTTTAGGGAGAAAACGAAGCAAGACCTCCGAGCAGAGAATCATCAGATGAGGAAAGAGAGGAAAAAGAACCCTGGCCTGATGATAACAGCAGCTCCAGGTGAATGTTCATTACCCTCAAACTTCATATGACATAGTGGCATATATTTGACATACACATACGTCAACCAGAGCCACACAAATATGCTGGGTCTGTTTATAATTACAGTGATTACTCCAGCGATTACTCAGACTGGACAGCAGATGCTGGAATAAACCTGGAACCGCCCAAGAAGACCAGCGTGAAGAAAAAGAAGAAGAAGAATGCCAGCAGCTCGGAAGAAGATGGAGAGAAGAAAAAAGACTCCAAGAAGGAGAGGAGGAAAGAAAAGCAGGACAAAGATGGAGCACTACCAAAGAAGAAGAAGCCAAAGGAGAAACGGAAGGTCAGTGGTCCTTTGTGTGTTGTTTCAACTATGGACTCCTCCCGTTAAAACATGCTTATCAAGCTCACTAAGTTTCTTGAATTTGTCCATTGACAATGGTCATTACAGCTTTAATGAGTGACAGAAGAGTTCTGTCTTTCTGTTTTTATTTTAGTTTCCATAAATCATTATGAACTGATGTCATTTCCACCATATCACCATTAATTTTTAAGATGGAAATAATATTTGAAACATTTTTGGAATAAAATGTGAAAATGGCATTTTAAAAATGTTTGGATTATCTTCTCTTGCCATAGCTAATTTCATAGCTAGTATTTGATGTATCCCAAATACACACAATTGAGTAATATTTTCACACTTTCTGCATAATTTTACAATTACATCTTGACTGGAAATTACACATTTTCTGTGGAAAACCTTGACCCCCCCCTTTGTATTCTTCACACATCAGATGTCTCATATTTCATCTCAAGTTCTTCACTGATGCTGTTGTCTCCTTGGTAACCAAGTGCACAAACTTTTGAAAGAACTTTATTAATGGCAAATATTTGGTTGTGGTGGAAATGACGCCATAGCTGAGTCATCAGTCTTTATTCGAGTAAAAATATAACTCATTTTTATGTAATAAAAGTTAAAATATTTTATTTCACTTCTTGATGAGATCATCATGGATCTAAAAAGTCTACATCTGAGACTGAGATCTTTTTTATAATTTAATTAAAATAAAGAATAACCCCTGGGACAAAAAGTTAATTCCGTTGACAGTTTCAGTTCACTTTCAGATTTGTGTGAAAGTCCTGCTCTGTTTTTAAGTTAGTCTGAACTTGCTGTATATATGTGTGTGTGTGTGTGTGTGTGTGTGTGTGTTTATATGTTCAGAGGATACCTGAACTGCAGAACCAGGGTTTGACATTAGAGGAATGGCTGCCCTCCGCCTGGATCACTGACACCATGCCACGGAGATGCCCCTTCACCCCACAGATGGGCGATGAGGTACAAAACACATTAGTCAGTACAACAGTCTGTTAAAGCAAAATAAAAATGTGAAATATTATTATTTATGTGGTGTGTGGAAACATGCTTATAACAATAAGCTGCTTGTTGTGTTTGTGAACAGGTATATTATTTCCGTCAAGGCCATGAAGCTTATGTGGAGATGGCCAAAAAAAACAAGATCTTCAGTATAAATCCTAAAAAACAGCCCTGGCACAAGTTAGAGCTCAGGGTAAGTCTTCAATGAAATGAACTTTAACCTCACAGTATTTTTATGCACATGATAAAACATATAGGAAATGGTTTGTGATTGTGTGCCTGCAGGAGCAGGAGCTGTTGAAGATAGTGGGCATCAAGTATGAGGTGGGTTTGCCTACTCTGTGCTGTCTGAAGCTGGCCTTCCTAGACCCAGACACTGGCAAACTGACGGGCGGCTCTTTCTCTATGAAGTGAGTACTGTCTGCATGAGTCACAGTGACTTATTCACTATGATCATCGCCGACTGGCTTTTAACCTGTGACTCGCATTTCTGTTGTGGTCTTAGATACCACGACATGCCTGATGTCATCGACTTCCTTGTACTTCGGCAGCAGTTTGATAATGCAAGACAGAGGAACTGGATGATAGGTTAGTGTGTGAATTGAGTGCATTTCTGCACAGATATTTATTCTTTACAGGGTTAAATGGGTCAATGACACACAGGGATGTTTGAGATGATGAAAAGGAAAAGTCTTTATAAAATCTAGTTCAAAATCCAAGTGCTAAATTCTTAAAAATGTCATCTTTGTGTTCTTCTTGGTTTATTCATGTTGTAAAAAAAATAAAATCTACCAAAAATGTTGACTAAAATGTCAAAAGTATTGAAATAATTTTCTTAGACATTGAACAGATGTGATTGTACACACTCCTTTTTTACCTGAAATAACGTTATTATTTCATTAAAACCTCTTTAAAAACTTAGTGACCTTGACACAGTCTATCTATTTATCTATCACAAATGTTTAATACATTTTTAATTGTAATAGAAGAGGTATTCAAGTAATTGTCTGTATACATTTTTTTAACTTAATATGTTGCTTTCTGTTAATGACTGCTTGTTCCTGATACAGAGTTGATGAGTGTGTGTAATTGTGTCTGATTTGAGATGGATTTATTTTGTCAGGTGATCGTTTCCGGGCAGTGATAGATGATGCCTGGTGGTTTGGTACGATTGAGAGTCAGGAGCCTTACCAGGCTGAATATCCAGACTCTCTGTTCCAGTGCTACAACGTCTGGTCAGTTCTCTGTGTCCATCTACACATCTTTACACATGATATAGAGCAATTCAGTTATTGTTACATTGTGTCCTAACCAGGCGTGAAGCCATGAGACCACAAACGGCACACACTGTTAGTTCTACATTAACCTCTATTGTATGTTGTCTTAACCACATTAACAAACAGCCAGTTTAAAACCCACAAATCTTTCTGGATTTAATTGCTCTGTAATTACACTTCCTCTTCGACTTCAAATTTAAGACTAAACATGGTTTATATGGAGGTTTAGAAATGAATCTATACTGAGCTTAGTGTGGTGTTGCACATATTTGATGGGGGGGGGCTAATAGTAGATGACATTATATTGACAGTTTTGTGTTATTGTGTGATGCAGCTGGGATAATGGAGATACAGAAAAGATGAGCCCATGGGACATGGAGGAGATTCCCAATGAAGGTATGATGATCACAATCACTACAGCTGTCAGTAAAATAAAACAACTTTGTCTATTTAATTAATATTGAATTATATGTATAAATTTGCTTTAATTTGCCTAGAAATAAATATATAGAGATTCTATGTGAAATTTCACAATTGTGCAAAAAAAGTTGCAAGTTAATGTACTTTTTTTTTTTAGCTACACTACTCTTCAACTTTTTTTAAAGAAATGAATATTCTACTAATAAAATAAAATCTAACAAAAGCAAGGATGCATTAAAATGATCAAAAGTGACTTTTACATTTGTACATAAAGACTTACATTACATTATTACAAAAAAAAAATGTCAATAAATGCTGTTCTTTTTAACTTTCTATTTATCAAAGAATGAAAAATCTGTGTATTTTAAAAATTTATGTATTTTTTTTCAATATTACTGTTTTTACTGTATGTTTGATCAAATAAATGTAGGCTTGGTGAGCATATAAGGTGTCTTTCAAAACTTTAAACAATCTTAATGATCCCAAACTTTTCTATGAATTATGACTTGTATGTTTCAACTGGATCAATTCAAAATAAAATTTTCCCCCCTATTATTTTTAAATATGAGATTGTTATGGGTGTGTATTGAACCATCTTTGCTAAAGCAACTAGTCTGCAGAAATCTCTCTCAAAACAGAATGAAGCTGTTGTAAGATCACATTAGATAAATGCATTAACTTAAATTGAATGATGTTAAACATGTTTAATTAATCTCATAGCACATTAATTTTCACTGCACTAATAAAAGCAAGCACATAAGCACATGTTGAGAAATATAACACTGCTCTGATTGCATACAGGGTACCACACTCCCATATTTTAAAATAATTTCAGCTCTGATAAAAGACTTTGAGTGCAGTTCTTTATGTAATTGGCTTTGTGACCTTTGTTTCCATTAAAACATAATAGAGCATACGTTTCCTATTGAGAACTCTTGGCAGGTCCCCAAAATGTTACAGATTTCAGGTTTTACTGTCCTTGTGGTGACATTTGGTCCCCATAACGTAGGCAAACCATGCATGCACACACACAATGTTTAGTAGTCGTCACAGCAACCATCAGATTGAGAGTATCAACTGTTCTGATGTCCAGCTGGCATTGTTTTAATAAGTAATCCAAACTGAGTTGTGATTGTCTGTCTGTTGTTTTTCTCCATCTCATTTTCTCTGTCTGTCTGCAGCAGCATTTCCTGACGAGTTAGGTCTGAGTGTGCCTCTAACTGAGGAGGAGCAGAAAGCCTTATTGTACAAGCCCCTAGAAGGAGAGTGGGGCTCACGCACACGTGACCAAGAGTGTGAGCGCATCATCAGGGGCATCGACCAGCTTTGCACTTTGGGTATGGCGTTATCATATCTCAAAATTCTTACTATGGTTGTGTCTAAAACAGATGGAATATAACAGTGGTTCTTTCTCTCTTCCAGATGTGGCTGCACCATTTGAACTGCCAGTGGACTTGCAGGCATATCCAGCATATTGCACTGTAGTTGCTTACGTCACAGATCTAAGCACCATACGACAAAGACTGCAGAACCGTTTCTATAGGTCAGCACAAAGTTAATGGACATGACAGTCACATACCTGTGTAAACACTTGATATATTCCAAAAATCAGTGTGTACGTCTAATGTAGATTATATCAAATTATATATGCATCTGCTATTTGCTTGCTTTTGTCAGGCGAATGTCGTCGTTGATGTGGGAGGTACGCTACATTGAACACAATGCTCAAACCTTCAATGAACCAGGCGCGTTCATTGTCAAAACTGCCAAATTCGTATCTGACCTCATGCTACAATTTATCAAGTAAGTCAACCACAATTAAAAATTATAAATAAAACTCTTAACTAGTGGTGTTGAATAGGGATGCACAATATATTGATAGCAAATGATTATCGGTCATTATCATTTTAATTTATCTGTATTGCCAAAGAGTGTATGGTCAATTACGCATGTTCAATTTCTGTATTTTTACATTTATATTGCTTTTGCAATCATCAAATGCTCACTTAAAGTTCATATCTAAAAAAAAAACACTAATGATTTAACACTCTCAAATGTAAGAGTTAGCAAATCTCAAAATTAATATATATTAATTGTTATAATTCTGTCATGCATAAATTCACTTGTAGCATTTCAATTAGATTAATTTTAGTTTTTTAAATTGTTGTTTTATTCATTTAGACATAATAGTATACATTTTAATATTGTCCTTTTATTAATGGCAAAAACCAAATGAACCAATTGAATGTAATTGATTTTAATCGGTGCATCCCTAGCATTTAGTTTAAAGCCATGCGTGGGACTGATTTTGACTGCCTGTCTCTGTCTGTTCTTTAGGGACCAAAGCTGTACAGATATTATTCCACTGTATAACAGTATGAAGAAAACTGCTTTCTCAGATTCAAGCGATGTAAGTGTCATTGAAACACACACTCGTAAACCACTCATAAGTGAATTTTATACATTATTACAGTGCCTTTAAGACTGTTCTTTTGCTGCCTTGCAAGCACTTGGAATTCATGTAATGTAAATGTGTGTATTTTTATGACTTGATTGACACCTTTTTCCTAACCTAGGATGAAGATGAGGATGAAGAACATGAGGCACCTTGTACATCTAGCCGCAATAAGAAGGTAACTTTAACTGATATTATATAATTTAAACAGGGCCAGAAAGATAAGACTTGATTATACATCAAGATTGTTTACATCTGGCTAATTGCGAGTGTGTATCTGTTTCAGAGGCAGCAGCAGCAGCCTATCCTGAGGAGTATGCGCAGTAAACCATCATCAGACCCTCAGAGCTGGAAGGGGCGCTGCAGAGAGCTGCTGGAGCTCATCTTTCAGTGTGAAGATTCAGAGCCTTTCAGACAACCTGTGGATCTGGAGGAGTATCCGGTAACACATAGACACATGTAGAAAACACGTACACACAGAACTGTAGCTTATAGGTGGGAATTATGAGGGATGTCGTATTCTCAACCTCAGACCACCTGCTGTTTGTTGCCATATCAATATTACCTTTGGACAAGCAAAAAATTAAAAACTCATGACAGAGTATATATTTTCCACAAATTTTTCAGGGATTTTTGCGTAACTATAACAGTGCCAGCTACACATATACACAGCATATATACACACACACACACACACACACACACACATACACACAC